GAAGAAAATGTTTGTTGAAGTAAGTATTTTGAATTATGTAATCATTGAATGCTTTTAAATTATGTAATTATTGTGTCAATAATTAGAAAAAATGACAATTTAGAAATTTAACATTTTTATTTTAGGATTTCAAAAAAAAAAAATAATAATAATAATAATAGTGCGTTGAGTCCCTCCACGCGGAAGAAGTGAAACTTCGTAATGTGGAAATGAAAAGAGGAAGGGATAGAAATTGATTTTTAGTGAAATCATATTGTTTCTTTAAGACCAACTTTAGTAGCATTGCTTACAATTCACAATTGATCGCATCTTTTAATTATCATTTTCGAGTTGAGAAATATCCAAATCTATAACATTTACAATGGGATTTTGATAACTAAAGTAAGATACGAAATGTTTGAGTTCTATATTTTCAATATTTCTTGCAAAAACTGCATCAATGGTAGTTCCCCCTTTGGTTGTTGGATCATTCTTACCATTTATCATTTCCAATAAAAATTTGTCTTTAAGGAAGGTTAATAATCTTTCATATTCAGGTAACAAGAAATTTACATTAAATCTCCTGCAAGGATCACAGGCCGCTCACAATAATCAATTTCTTCACCAGTAACGTCTGCCAGAGCTTGTGAACCTGCAGTGGATAGTGGCAATAAAGATGTTCCGTCATCAATAGACAGTTAGTTTGAACAATTGTTTTAAATCGTCTGCTGATGTAATAACTGTAACTCGACCTGGTTGCTAGGCAACCAAACGACTTTTTCTTGTTATTAATGTTTTGTTTTGTTTATCGTTGCGTTACACATTTAACGCAACCTTGTTGGAAGTCGCATTAAAAGTTTCACTTCAAAAAAAAAAAAAAAAAAAAAAAAAAAAAAAAAAACATTTTTTAAAGTTTAAATTTTCACTCAATTCAAATGTAAATTTAACTTTATTCAGTGTGGCTTTTATTATATAATTTCAGAATATGAATAATCTATCATAGTTGTGAAATTACAAATGGAGTAAAATAAGATACAATAGAGTAAAATAAGAGATGACTAGATAATAAAATTGACTAGATTAATTAAATTGGTTCATTTCTATTAAAAAACATAATAATATATTTAAAAGTAAAAATAAACATTTGAAAATGATTATTGATGTAAAATTCATCAAAAAACTCTTTGTATAAAGAACAGAAGAAAAAAAAATATCAATAAAAGTCTAGTAACTAAGTATTATTTCTTAATTAAATTTGAAATTTTATTCCAAAAAATCAACTGGACATAAAATATACTTTGGAATAAGAGGGAGAAAAATAGACGATAGCTGAATTCGGTAGTAAAATTTTATTTAGTATTTCTGTATTTCTCAGAAATAATGCGTGAAATAACATTATAAAGCTGTTCCATGTTTTACTGCTTCACAGCAGTATAGGAAATTAAGTAAAATTATATAGCCGAATTATTCTATTCTACTACGGATGCAAGTCTTCCCCTTGCTTACTCCAAAAATAAAATGAAATGCAACGCAAGATAATATCCGAAAATACAAAAATCTTATATTATGTAGCATCAAAACCAATGCAAAATAATGTTATAGTGAACGCTAGATAAAATATTAATTTGCATATAATCTAATGTTACATAATGCAGAGAAAACAGCGACTTTCTGTATCTTCCTAGTATTAGAAAGTTGTGCAAGATAACGTTAGATTTTATTGGTTTTCTGATATTATCTAATGTTAGATGCTACTTGGGTCTTATTAGTTTTAGAAGTTAAATCTAAAAAAATTACAGAAGAATTTCAAATATTAATTTTGTTAAGGACTTGGATAAATTTGTTTAGCTGAAATTTCAAAATTAAAAACCAAACAGATCGACACCTTCGAATCGACAAAATTTGTATAAAAATTAAAGCTATCAAATGACTTAATAAATCTATTCTCGGGGAAGAGAAAAATATCACAAACATTAAAACTAAGTTTATTTTAATGAAACATATATATACTAATATGTAGTTTGTGTGACTATCATTTACATCAGCGCAATGCACACAAAAATTACATCAATTTCCTTTTTAAATCCATCTTTTTCTACATTTCAATATCACTTTCAGATATAACAAAGGTAAAACAAAAGGGACTGATAAAATTATTCCACCAAAAAAAGTTTTACATAACATTCCTTCCCCCCCAAAAAAATTTAAATTTCATGAATGATTAAATTAAATTAATTATAATGAATAATTTAATTAAACATATATTTATATATTAATNATTATATATATATATATATTAAAAATTTAATTAAAAATATCCCTGCCTCCCAAATTTCTAAAAAATAACCATTTAAATTAACAAAATTGCACCCTAAGTCTATTTTACAGTTAAAAAACTACAAAAAATATCGGAATATTTTTTTAAAAAATATCACCCCCAAAAAATTTTCTATTGACTTTCCCCCTTTGATTAGCTTCTTGAGTCAAACTTATCTACACAAATGTCGTGAATTAATTAATTATAACACGCCAATATGGGAGATTTTTCTTCTTTACTGAAAAAGTGTAATTCTGAGTTCTCTATATTAACTACTTACAGGGTGAATGAAGAAATATGATTTTCTTATGTATAAATACCAGTTAGTAGTACCATAGTTTTCGAATCAAGTAGTAATTTATAATTCAGTTGTAATTAACAGAATGTGTTTACAGAAAATTAAAATAATTATAAAATAAATCAATTAAATTTTTGCTTCCCTTAAAAAAAAATAGTGCGTGGAGTCCCTCCGAGCGGAAGAAGTTAAACTTCGCAACCTGCGACGTTAATTGTAGAAGAATCAGCAGTCGTAGAAGGATCACTAGTTCTATTCAACGACTCTTTTTCCTGCTCCGCTCGCTTCCGTGTTCTGTAATCACGGTAATATCGTGCATTTTTCCCTCGTGGACCTCTTTAACTTGTGGAAGTGCTTGTGGTTGCCTCATCTTCTCGCCCTGGAAAATGTATTTGTATTAATAATGCATGTGATTGCGTCATAATGTAATTTCAAAAGAGAAAACCTAACAATCAATTGATATTCACAAGAGACGTACCTTGACAAAACCCTAAATCTATCGCATTGTTTTCACTCATTTTTTACAATTGAGATCCAAAACAATATGGAAATGAATGAGGGAAAACTGGATCCTACCTTGTTGGAAGTCGCATAAGAAGTATAACTTCAAAAAATATCGCTAATGCTGAAAGAGAAGCAGACATGGGATTGATGAACAAGCAAGCACTATATATATATGTGTGTGTGTGAGTTAAAATGCATTATACAAACATTTAACGTTTTACCTAAAGGAACTTGCTAACCTTAAAAAGCGATGAAAAATAATTTTTTATTGAGAATGCTTTTAATGGTAAAATGATTGCATGATATTTGTAATGTTATCTATAAGCGTATTAAAAAAACCATTCAGTTATTTTTTTTTACAACGTTAGCATAATTGTGGAACAAAAGTGGCATTTTTTTATTGTTCATTGCAAACATTTAATCAATTGTTAAGAAAGCTTTTGTAAAATACTTTTTAATAGTTTTATTAAATAATTTTAATTCATGATATAAATTATTTTACCGGTTTTTCTTAAAGAAAAAAAAATTGTTCTATCCAAAACATTATTAATTTATTCGTTATTTTTTTGTTCATTATTAAATATTGATCTTGAGAATATGGTAGAGTTTCAGGAAAGTGATCAGGAAAGTATATATTTCTTCGAGATTTCGTTTCATCACTGCAGTTCAAACTTTACTGATATATTACAGGGCTAAAGAGAATAGAAGGGCTAGTTCACTCCGCTCTTAGAGCTGAAGCTACGATTTCCCTCCTCGTGACGCCACTGTGTCCACAGATCTCGTAGATCGCAAGCGAAGATATTATGATAACTTTGCATCTTTCTCTTTGTAAAAATAAGTTAGACTTTTTCTGGTTATTAGCTTTCAAACTTTACGTAATTAACACATTATTTCTGTTCATAAACATAGTTCAAAAAAACCCTCTTGGCCATTATATTAAAAAAAAATACCATTTTAAAGTTATAAAAATATTTTACTAGTTGGCGAAAATGACACTATAAATAATATATTTTAAAAACTTCAGTTTTAACTTTAATTATTAAGAAAAATGAAAGCCTATATCGACACTTTTTTATCTACATATTTTTTTATAACAATAAGTTGAGTTAAATTTAGACTCCCTGATTTTAAAATACGCCATTAATTTGTTCATACTTAATCATTAGGAAACATCAACCTTAAACGCTAATTACTGAAACAAAATAATAATTTAAGCTCATAAGGACATTAGAAATCTTACAATTGTTTATAGATATTTAAATTTACGATGATATAATTTATAGATATTTAAATTCAAGAGAATATAATTTTTAAAAAAATCATAAATATTTAGAATAACTACATTAAAAATATGTTATGAAATTAAGAGAATTTCAACTATATACTATGTATTTTATTTATACTTTTTATTTACATTTTAATTTTCTTTGACTTTATCAATTTTTTTCACCTACCTTTCTTTTTGAAGTAACGAGGAGGTTTCTATTTAGACAATGAATTTTTATAACAGTTCTTAACGATAAAATAAACGTATTGCTGTTTTATATTAACTGTGTCATTACGAAATCCATTCTTTACATAGTTGTTCATTTGCTTTAGGGAACACTCGTAAAATTATATTTTTTCCTTTTGTTTTTCTATCAGAAATTTTACAAGTTGCAATCGCGCAAACTGGCATTTCGGTAATAGTTCGTAAATTCACTGCAAAAAACTGAGGAAAGTGATTATAGAAAAAAATAACAAATGTCTTAGAATATGTCACAAAAAGAAATGTTTCAATATTAGTTAGAGCTATTAAGGCCGAACGCTCCGTTCTTGAAGTAAAAGTGCGAAGTTTGCGCCAAAGTACGTCACTAGAGAAAATCGGAAGATTGGAGCGGCGAGAGTTTCTGTAAAGGAGTGAACCAGCCCTTCTATTCTCTTTAGCCCTGGATATATTAGTTCAAAATTCTGCCAACCAAGCTTTTGGCGATAGAATTTGCTTGGTGATTATCCATTTCAGTTGTTCACAAATTATAGGGTTATCACAAGTCAGGCATTCAAGACAGTATGGTAAAGGCATGTTATACACAAAGCTATAAGCTAATGCATATAGCTCGCTGCACAATTTATAAGCAAACAATAAACAAACATTGGGTTTTCTTGAACAATCATAACAAAGTGGCTAACTTGGACTTCGTGGTAGCATCAAATAAATCTTGTTAGGCTAAATTAAACCTTACCTATTGAAACGCAGTGCTATAAGAAGCTAAAGTAGAGAGCACGCCGCACTTTACTATACTCATACAAACATTGGTGTTGAATTTGATAAATAATCGAATATTAGTTAAATTTTGTTAATACGTTTTGTTGTCATGCATAATTGTTTCATGCGTTTTTATTAAAGAGCTCGAACTTGATAAAAAATTTTTTACTTATAATTATAAAAAAAAAAAAATCTGTTTTGTATTGAAAATAAGCATTAATTCTGAAATGGGTACTATTAAATTTCCGCATATTTTTTAGAAGCTTCGTGCGGAATGATAGCAATAAAACTTACTCTTTCATTGATAAACAACAAAACATAATCTTAAAGATTGCTCAAGAAAACCTGTACCCACAAAGATGTAATTTATTCATTATTTGTGTAAAAAACTAGTCAGAACGTACAAGTAGTTCCATTTAATAGGAAAGTTATTTGTAAAACTTGCATAATAAAACTTACTCTAAGCAACCTAGCCAGTTTAAACACTATGCTCTTCATGATTAAATATTCTCTCTTTTAAAAGACAGTTTTGTTCCTACCTTGAGGTAGTATTGTTTATGCAGTGAGAATGATAAAATATATTTTAATTAATTTAGTTTATTTGTGAGAAACCTTATTCATGCAGTATGTGTGACAAAACATTCACTCAAAACAGCAGCTTAAATGAGCACTGTCTTATTCATACTAAAGAGAAACCATATCCCTGTGATTTGTGTGCTAAAACATTTAGGAAAAAAAGCACATTAAATCGACACTATGTTGTTCATACTGGAGTAAAACCTTATTCATGTAGTTTGTGTGATAAAGCATTCAGACAGAAAGCCAGTTTAAACGAACACTATGCTATACATACTGGAGCAAAATCATTCTCATGTACTGTGTGTAATAAAACATTCACACGGCAAGCAAGTTTAAATGACCATTTTGTTCTTCATACTGGAGAAAAGCCTTATTCATGCAGTGTGTGTCATAAAACATTCAGATGGAAAACTAGTTTAAATAAACACTATGTTGTGCATACTGGAGAGAAACCTTATGCATGCAGTTTATGTGATCAGACATTTACAGATAAATCTAATTTAAACAAGCACTCTCTTAATCATACTGGGATGAAGCCTTATTCATGTAGCATATGCGATGCAACTTTCACACGTAAAGCTACATTAAATGAACATTCTGTTGTGCATACAGGAGAGAAACCTTATTCATGTAGTGTTTGTGCTAAAACATTCACACACAAAGCCAGTTTAAGTAAACATTATGTTGTTCATACTGGAGAAAAGCCATATTCATGCAATATATGCGATAAAGCATTCACACAGAAAATTAATTTAAATAAACATTCTGTTGTTCATACTTCAAAGAAAACTAATTCATGTACTATGTGCTATAAAACATTCACATGGAAAGCTGACTTAAATGATCACTATTTTGCTCATGGAGGAAAAAAACCTTATTCGTGTAGTAAATGCAATAAAACATTCACAAGGAGAGCTAATTTAAATAGACACTGTGCTGTTCATATTGGAGAGAAGCCTTATTTATGTAATAAGTGTGATAGAACATTCACACGCAAAGCCGGTTTAAATAAACACTCTGCTATTCATGCTGTAGAGGTGCTATTCTCATGTTAAACAAAACATTCACACTCAAATCCAGTTTAAAAAGACATTCACTTGTTCATACTGGAGAGAAAACTTAATGCTGTGTGAGATAAAGCATTGACACAGAAAGATAATTTAAATAAACTCTAAATTGTACCGGTATGTAAGAGCATGAAAAACTTAAGTTTATATGCAGAATATACGATAGTATGCTTGTGTTTAAATGTACCACTGGGCAGGTAAGTGCTGAAGGCTAGATTGTCTAATAGAGATGATGCTGGATATAACCACATCTGCTATCCATTTAGAAATAAACATTATTATACTTGAGTGTACGAAAATATATATTATTTAATCATAACTAGAATAATGAAATTTGCTTAAACTACACTATACTTCAACAATAATTAGGAAAGTTTACGAATGATTAATAGTAAATGGGTATACAATGAAATACACCACTTCTCAATTTTCCTGGGTATTATTTCTAGTAATACAAGCAAGTAACTAGATTTTCTGAATAGAATCAGCTTTTTAGTGTGAATAATTCAAGTAGTTGTACTTTATATATCCAATTAAAAAAAATTATATTCATAGAATCTATTCTATATTATAAAAATAACTATATGTTGTTAAAACATCAAAAAAAAAGTTTTTTTTTTTGCATTGGCAATAAAGAAATAAAATATCAAGCAAATGAGCAAGCATAAGCATCAGGGTATATATTATCGATTTGAAATATTTCAATCACTTGATTTATCTTTAAAAAATAACCATTTATTTAAATCAACTGAATTTTAAACTATTAATTTAAGTCAAAAGTATTTTATTTACAGTAAAATTTATATATATTTAGTTTGATTTCATGCATGTTTTTTTTTCTCCGATTTACTTGAAGATAATATATTATTTTCCAGGAAGTATTAGAAAGAAGTTTTGGTCTAAATCCGGAAATTATCAGCTAAATTGTCTGTCATTAAAAAAAAAAAATATTGAAAAATTACATTTGTTATTTCATTTTCTTGTTAATTTCTGAGATTGTAATATTGTTATTGTATTCAATAAAACATTTGTATGGCGACTTTCTTCATTCTTTGTGATTATTTGTAATTAAGGCTTAACAACATACAAAAAAAAAAGAGATTATTTTATTCTGAAGTATTTAAAAAAAGGGAACTCTATACATAAGTAACAGATTAATCATAGTAGTATTTCTTTCTTTTTCTCTAACCGCATGTACTGCCCTGCTTTTGCCTTGCGTGATGCTAGAAGTGTTGCTCATTTAACATTCCTCAGGAGGCACCTGTAAACCTGAGTCACAAAGGCGAGCAACATTACCCAGCGGTATACGAACTAACAACCATTGGCTTTGCAGTCAGGAACTTTTACGGCTTGACCAGTTTATGGTAGTATTTCTAAAATTCCTTCAAAAGACATGGATGATAATGTTCCTAAGGTGTGCCAATATCTATGAAATTATATCATAATTTTATGAATTTTAGCACTGCCTCTTTTCCTGACAACTGGTTACTCGAAATGATTAAACTATTATACTAAATTAGGAATTTATAACCACATTGATATTTTAGTTAATAAAAATTTTAATGGATAAAATACCAAAATAACTGTAAAAAATTTGAAGTGTGTGTTTCACTGTAACTAAATTTGTTTTCAGCAAAAAAGTAAAAATAATAACATATTTTTATTATTTGGGATTGAAACCTGTGCATTTAACAGGAGGATAGAAGGCAACAGTAAACAAAGCATAAATATTTTCTTACAAATGATACATTAATTATTTTAATGCTTTATTAATCTAGAACGGGGCTAATTGTTTTAACAAAAATTTATAAATGAATTTTTTGAATGTAGTTATTATTAAGAAAACATAATTTTTTCTTTTTACTCAACTGAAGAAAAAACTAATTTTGAGACATTTTATTACATTTCCAAATAAGTTGCTTAAGATTCAAAATATTTGCTACTTCATAAGAAGTCAGCGGACGTTGAGTTATGATCACATAGGGTCCATCATGGGAATTGCAAATGTTGTAGTTCTTTCTTTTGCATTACTCACTGGATGCAAAGTTACCCAAACACGATCTCCAGGTGCATATTGAGGGACACTTCTTTCTTTGTAGGCATATTTCTTCCTTTTATCTTGTTTCTGTTTCGATCTCGGGGGGGGGGGGGGCAAANGGGGGGGGGGGATGCCAAACATTTTTTTTCTATCCAATAGTTCACATAACAAACACAAATTTTAATAATTACGACAAAAGAGTAATAAAAATAGTTTCTTTTGCTCAAAGTCCGAGCATCTACTGCTTTTCAGATGGCGCTGTGGTTGCTACAATTCATCTGCTACAGATTTTTATAAGTAGATGTCACATCTATGTACTTTATACTGATCAAGCTGACATGACATATATGAGGTTTTACTTATACAATGTATGTGCTAAATTGCAAAGCAATAAAATAAAAAATCTTGAATACTGGGGTGATAAATTTTATTCGTTCAGGGTCTGCATTAAGATATTCACATAAGAATTTAGTTTAAATAAACACCACATTCTATTATTACCAGAAAAGAGGTTCTCACTTATAGTTAAAATAAAATTGTTTAATTAAAATATTTCTAACTCGTTTAACCAAAGATTTTCCCGGTTTTGGAGAGAAGCATTAATCATGCAGTTTGTAAGTACACTAAAGCATTAATTTTGAAACAAATAAACCTACATTCTCTTGTTCTTTCTGGAGATATATCCGATTCATGTAGACTTTTTAGTGAACCATATTGAAAAAATGTGATTCTCGTTAACATTTGATACAGGAGTTTTTGTATGGTTGTAAGAGAAGCTAAATACCTTTGGAAGATTAAACCAGTACTGAAGCATGTGAATAAATTATTGTGTACACTCATATTTCGAATTATCTTTCTACAGTTGAAAACCCTAAGAATAATAGAAAAATAGTATTTTTTTTATTTAAGTGAAATAAAAAAAAACTAAAAATGAAACATGACCTTTCATTGGGGATTTTGTAAGACTTTAATAACTACAGATCCTTTGGACCCAGGATTCCAAATTTCTAGATTCTTTTTTGCAAAAAGCGAGTTCTTGTTTAAAATAATATAAAACATTTAAGACATCCTTAATCATTGAAAGTTACAAAATTCCATGTGAAATAAAATTAAAAAATTGTCATTTCAAATGATGTTTGAAAAAAAAAGTTGTCTTTGATAAAAAAACAAAACAAAAAAATATAACAGACTTTTAAAACAAGAAAAGAATTATATTTGAAATCAAGGTTTTTAATTACAATCAATACTAAACTTGCTTCAAGGAAAAGCAACTATGTAATTTATTACTCATAATTATTTTCTTTTACTTCTGCTATAAATATAGAAAATAAATTATTCTGTTTCTTTCTTTTTTTTTAAAAAAAAATTTGCTTTTATTCTATTTATATAAATCTTTTGGCTTGCTATTTTTTTTAAAATTTTTCTAGATGGAGGATTATTGAGCCCAGATGACACGTCAAAATCTTCTTTTCGCCTCTCTTATTTTTGGTATATATCTGTTAGCAGAATCACTGTTACAAATTATTAACATTCACATGTTAAATTGCCACTAAATTTTATTACTTTGTGATGCTGTCAATAGGATTAAAAGTTGTAAATATATTTGTTTTTATAAATAGGAAGCATTTAAATAAGAATTGAACATTTCTCTCCTTTTCAATATTTTCATTAATTTTTGAGTTTCAGTGCAGTCATCAGATGCTTTTTCACTTACCTATTTCATTGTCTTGAATTAGAAGAAAACTAAATTGTTGCTGAATTACTTTGTGAATTGTGATTTTTTAAAAATAGAACTAAAACTTTACTATTAAGAATTTGTGGAAGAGGAAGAAATTAAAACAAATTTTTTAAAAAAAGATTTAATTAATGCTATTTTTTAAAAATCCAACTACAGTAATGATGACATCTATGTTTAAAAAATGAAAATACAGTAGAGAACCGATTATCCGGAACGATCGGGACTATCGCTATTCCGGATAACTGATTTTTCCGGTTTTCTGAATCGCTACAAAAAGCCGTTTTTTTAGTGTTAAACCCAACTAAAAAAAAAAAAATATTTGGAAATAATCTTAAAAATAAGAAAAAACAGTGAGGTAATACACTAATGATTATTTCTGAAATGATGGTAAGGTAAACATCTTTCAAAAAAGAAAGAAAAATCCTAAANAAAAAAATTTTTTTTTTTTTTAAATGGCGGGAAAATTTATCGAATTTCGTTCCGGTTTTTGGTTTTCCGGTTTTCTGATTTCCGGATAACGGGTTCTGTACTGTAGTTGCTCTAGGGGTAAATAAAGAAATTTACTCACAATAATTTCCATTGTAGATTATCAACCTAAAAATTTGTTAACAAGTTTATTTTAAATATGTTTTTAGAGAATTTTGGCCTTATCAAAAATTCTTTCCTTTTCAATATTTTCATGTATAATTATACACATCATGAATGTATATTATTTGTATTATATTTATTTCTTACAGACCGAATAGGCCTTTATATCAGATTGTAAAAATTATTAGAAATAATGATAAAAAATTTCGTGTCACTATAATTCATACTTCTCCAGGGACATATAAACGTGCAACCTCTAAAGTATGTTTGCTGCCGAATGAATTTCAATTTTGTTAACTTGTAATACTGTTACTTACACATTGTGAACTTGCATTGAATAATAATAACAGTTTTGTATACTTAAAATTATCAAATTTATTGAAAATTTAATTTGTTAGATCTCTTAATGATCAATTGAATAATATAATTATTCAATGCTGGGGGAAATGTTAAATGTCACCAATAAAAAATTATTGTCGCTATTATATTGTGTTATCAATAAAAAATTATTAGTTTTGCTAAACGCTAAAGATAGTTTGCCATTTGTGGCAATCGTTTCGTATAATGTTATTTGTTTATCTTATTTTTGGTTGCTCATTTTTCATTGAGGATGTTCTATGGTGAGAGGCCTGCAATAAAATCCATGGATATTAGTTAAATATTCGTTAATTTTGATATTGTTGATTATTTAAAAACCTGCATAAATTAAAAATATATTGATAGTAAATTCTACTGTCCTTTAGCAGTCTATATAAACAGGGCTAAGTGTGGACAAACTTGGTAACTTATTAAGTAGTAATTTATTTCCAAGTCAGGAAAGTATATCAAAAGCAAAAATGAAATCAATTACAATCTAAGCCTTATTAGAAAATAAATATTAACATACAAATACTACTTTGTAATAGAACATTTCACTATATTAAGAAAGACATTTTAAACACAATATTAAGAAAGACATTTTAAACACAAATCAAAAGATTTGAAAATCAATATTTCGTTTGATAGCATGGTACCAATTTTAAGTTGAATCAATTTTAATAACTACAGTTTTAACAAAATGATGAAATGGTCTCCAAATGGACAACACAAGGAGTGTATGGATCGTCGGTATTTCTCTCACTAAAGCAATGAAAAAGACTTGTGAAACATAAGACAATATCGATTGCTGATATTCTGTTTTAATGTATGGCAAAATTTAATTAATCTATTTCGAATTATATTCTTTTAACAAATCTGATAAAACATTTCTCTTGTATTTTCGTAAAACTTTTAGAGAGTGAATTATATAAAGGTTTTGTTTGGAGTATTTTACTTAATATTGAAACCACTAATTCTAAAGGTATATCATTCTGATTTAGAAAATGATATCAAATGTATTATATTTGTAAGTGACTCATATTTCCTCCTTTGAAAGTTGAAAAGGGTCATTGTGATTATGTTGGCACTAGTCTACACATGCCTACTGTTACATGTCTACACTAGCTTCTCAAAGATATATATGCTAATGCCGGTTAATTGCAAATATACAGAGCAAAAATTAATATCAAAATAGGTAAAAAACTGTATAATTTATAACTCATTATCGCCTTTGGTTGCAATTCTAAAAATAAAATATATCAATAAAAAATAAAAGCTACTATTTTGCTTCTTAAAAACCAAATTTTTATTTAATTAT